AGTTGCCGCCATGTGATTGGCTGATTAGAAATTAAGTGTTAACGAGCAGCTGGACAGGTGTACCTAATAAAGTGGCCGGTGAGTGAATATTGCCATGTTATTAGTAACTTTAAGAAGAGCAGTGATATTTGAATAATTTGGACTAAATTCAAATTGATATGTGAACATAACACATTATGCTCATCAAGAAATTTCGATAATTAAGAATGTTTTTTAAAATATTTTGCCATGCTGTTAATAATGGAGATAGGCCCATAATTAATAATGTCTGTAGGGTCACCCCCTTTATGGATGGAGGTTACTCTGGCACATTTCCAGGATGCTGGGGTTTGACCATTTTCAAAAGATAAATGAAACAAATCACAAAAAAACTTTAAAAACTTGATCTCTTGACCATCTGGGCCAACACTGCATCCAGAGCTTAGACCATCAATGACCTGTTGAACCTTAGTTGGTGTGATAGTTCTGAACGGAAAAGAACTGCCACATCTGTTCTGAACCGGGTTTCAGTAAGAATGAGAAGGACTAAATAGAAATGCACAAGAAACAATACAAGGATAAACTAAGAAACCAAATAGTCTACAAATGAACAAATCAGTATGGCAAGAGTGATAATTATTCAGGAGACAAACCGCGTATGACAGTCACAGTAGATCATGGTAGAAAAAATATTCAAGAAGGGGAACACAAAAAACTATGAAAACAGACATCAAGGAAATAATTAATATGGCAGAAACTAAGAAGCATGATTTACCCTCAAGCAGAGGTGGATATACTGTAGTACCCAAATACTGTACTCGGGTAAGAATAGTACTACTTCAACATATACTACTTCAAGTAAAAGTAAGAAGTATCCCTCCAAAAAATTACTTAAGTAAGAGTAAAAAGTATTTGAGCTGGCTGTGTGTACATGCAGAATACTTCACTTCTCTGTGGGTGTGTTACCGAAAGATTCCACTCTTAGATCTGGCTTCAAAAGGTTATTAGGTCCAGGTTCTGCAGAACACACTGTTTATAGATTGGACCTGTTGTTTTAGTGTGTTGTTGTAGGTTCTGTCTGTTGTTTTGTTGATCATATGGTTCAGTTCCACTAACAGTTTCAACCAGGGTTTAATCCAGTTCTGTTGAACTTAGAAAGCTTTCTGTGTTCTGTTCTGACAGCAAACACAGATCCCAGACTACGCTGAGCTCATCGTCAAGTTTCTGGAGGCGTTGATTGACAGTTACTTACCGACAGCCGATGAGGAGCGAGGGGAGGAGCAACTACGGACCCCCACCTCACCATACCCCCCCACCAGCCAGAGCCAGCTGAGCATCACTGCCAACCTAAACCTGTCCAACTCCATGACCTCACTGGCCACCTCACAGCACTCACCAGGTGAAACATGCACTCTGACTCAAACAACAGCACAATGTTTGACTGAAACCACTCTGGAACACAGTTCTCAGTAAACACAAAGATGGTCTGCACTCAGATTGTAGATGTGAGGAAAAATAAATATGTTCCTGTTTGTTGTCAATAGTAGAAAATTATTTGTTCAGTTTGATTCATTCTTTTATTGGGTAGTAGCTAAAAATCAACCTTAACACAAACTCTGGGTTTGTAGCAGTGTTGTTTTTCACTGCCATTTTAATTTTAGTCTTAGTCTTTTGAACAAAAATACTTCTTAGTTTTAGTCAGTTTTAGTCATTTAGTAAGTAAGTAAAAGTTTATTTATGTAACGCCTTTCACAGAAAAGGATTTCATGAGGTGCTGTACATCCATTGTCAGAAAGAAAAAGCAAATATATCACAACAACTGTTCAAATTATACATTCAATATTTGAAACAAAAACAAAAAGGAGTTCAATTTATCTCTCACTCTTATAGGTGGAGGGGATGGATACTAGACCGGAATAACACACATGATTGTTAGTCAGGGCTTATAAACTCAAGTTGTGATGTGTTGAATGTATTCAGTGTAATGCTTAAGTGAAAAAGTGTGTTTTTAGTTGTTTTTTTAAAGGAGTCAGTGTTATCAAGAGATCTTAGATAGGGCGGAAGGGCGTTCCACAGTCTGGGAGCCATTGAGGAAAAAGTACAGTCACCACGGGTCTTGAAGCGAGTACGGGGGACCAACAGAAGACTCTGGTCTTGTGAGCGCAAGTTGCATCTGGGGTTATAAGGCGAGAAAAGACCGGAGATGTTATTTGGCGCTTGGCCATGTAGAGCTTTAAAAGTGAGAACCAAGATTTTGAACTTGAGTCTGAATTGTACAGGTAGCCAGTGGAGGTCTGATATTATAGGGGAGATGTGAGAGAATTTAAATGTTGAAGTTAGAAGTCTAGCAGCAGAGTTTTGAACAAGTTGAAGCGGGTTAAATTGTTTCTGATTTAAGCAGGTGAACAGACTGTTACAGTAGTCGAGACTGGTTGAGATAAAGGCATGGATTACCATTTCCAGGTCAGAGGCAGGCAGGAGGGGGCGAAGTTTAGAAATGTTACAGAGTTGGAAATAGCATGAGGTAACTAGATTTTTGGCATGTTTATCTAGTGACAGATCTGAATCAAAACTGACTCCCAGATTTTGTATGCTCTTTTTAACAGTCAGCCCCAGAGAGCCCAGCTGTTCTTTTTTCTGAGGGATCTTATTTTCAGGTGCCACGATCAGATTTCTATATTTAATGGTTTTAGTCGAGTTTTAGTCGACGAAAGATTTAAAAAATTGTTTAGTTTTAGTCTTAAAAAAAGACAACATATTAGTCTTTACAAATTAATTTGAGTAATTTGTGGTACACTGCAAAAACTGTCCGTCTTACCAAGTTTTAAAATCTTATATCAGCCAAAAAGTCTTTTTGATCTTGTTTTGAGACTGATTTACTAAACAAGAACTGATTGTGTAAGAATAATCATCTTGTTTTCAGAATGTGTAAGATTATTTGTCTTGTCCTGATGCATGTCAGTAATCCAGGTAAAAATCAAAAAGAAAAAAATTGTGTAGGTCTTCTGGACGGTTCTTCTCTAATG